GGCATAATTTTGGATGCAGCCGTTTGCATCCAAGAGACGATGAGTGCTCGACGAATTGAGGGTTAGTAACCAACGTAAAATACCAATAATCGAATATGTTTGGTATTAACTCGTGGCCAATGGAACAACATGTTGGGATTCGCGTGTGCGCAACACATCAACACGAACAAATTGCGCCATGTCATCATCAGTTGTTCAGGCATTTTGACATGATAAACCGATCATTAATGCGAGTAAAGAGGCTTGCCCAATTTGGTAAACCAAATTAACCAAATAATTGAGGAAGAAGTTTTAAAATGTTGGAATGATTTCAATTGATGGTAGATCGTAGGATGATATGAGTCCGTTTGGCCCATAAGCCTATATGAAGAACTACCGCATGTATTGAACACGTTTGCATATCAGTTGCCTGAAGCGACTTCGAAGATGTGGTTGTTCTATGCCAAGGGTCGACCAGATAGCCTGCTCTGTGTGGTTGGATCAAAATGCCTTCGTCATGCAATTGCAGAAGGGATCATAGAAAGAGTTAAAATCGAAAGAATCGTTAGAAGAATTTACTTAAATTAACCTGGCAGTGCGCCCGGCATCATTATTGTTTTTTGTAATGCCATTTAATGTGATTACCTTCACAACAAACTAGCACTTCTGTTTAGAGCCACACTACAAAACAATAACATTTGTGGTCATCGAGATCCACGACAACTTCCTTTTCTCACCTGTTAGTTCTTCAAACCCTGGTTAACCACTTTCGTGCAAGGTGATTTTGGCACAAGTGAGAGTTACTGGGGAACAGTGAAATCATGGAGTATGCAGCCGTGCACTCCAAAGTTCGTCAGCCTCTTTGTGAAATCCCTGGGTATAGGAACCCTTTCTTCTATAAACATGAGGCTGTTCGAATCTGGCAAAAACCTAATTTTGGAGTCCAATATCTACACTTCATCGTGTTATCTGAATGGTAGCGGTGGTCCACCGAAATCGATGAATGATTCGGTGGCAAACTGCACACTGGTAAATCCCTCAATCGTCAAGTCACAGCTGACAAGCTTTATTGTCTGTACTCGCATTTCCACTCTGATGTGAAGCTGTCACGTGAAAACAACAATTACCATTCATCAGACTACCGTTCTATAGCTATTGCATATCCCCTTGGCTAGCGGCACCTGCCATTTCAGTTGACCGGGACACACAACATGTGGCAATAGAATAAGCTTACGTATGTGAACTTTCATCCAGCCACCGTGAAAAGTGTGCGCGTGTTTACCACTTTTGGAGGCCACTACCCCGGTCTACGCCATACTCTCAGATGTTTTTAAAATTATTGTGCTAAACAAGGCACCAGAGGCAACGTCGGTGGTTAGTCACCACTTTCACCACACCCGCGCACCCATCTACGAGGTCAGATGGACTGAGAGCAAATCACAGAGTGCCGTTTCTCGGCGGGTCGTGAGACGATGCAGAAAGCTGCTGGGTGCAGCATAAGTTGACACCACTTGGTGGCCTTGGTGCACACGACGTGTGCAAACTATCCTATTTTTGTCCACTGCAGTTTGGAACAGCTACGCTCAGTAATCGTTTGGTAGATGCTCCTATTTTACACTCCAAACGTTTGTTGAAACCCACGTTATCCTGTAACAAACATAAAGGTGAAAGGGCCATACGGAAAAGCAGACAGCCGTTTATTTACTCGTTAGGTACAAATGCGTCTCTGGTGGCAATCGAGGGTCAATTCACAACAACCCATAGTCGGATGTCGAAGTCACTAACCCGCAGTCAAAAATAATAACGCTGGAATGGCCTCTGGTCAATGATCATCATCACGAATTATTGCTTTTGGATTTACGACGCGAAGATGTAGTAGCAGAATAGGCCAGCTGTGGCGAAACTGACTGATTTGCTGTTGTCTAGTCAGTCGATTCTGCCAAGGCGTCGGTGGGAAGTGGGCGCTATGGCATCAACCCTCCGGGGTTCAGTTCCCTTCAGTGTTTATTGATTGGGTTGAGGTTTGTTTAATTAGCCGTCTTTAAGATCAGCAATGACACTTGCCGTGGAAGAGCACTGGATTCTGCCCACTTACGTTGGTATGGAGACTAACTAGACAGAATAAGCCTTTACTAATTGCCAGTGCACAATTGAGCAAAACTGCTGTAACTGATGAAGGCGTACCTTACAGTCAAAGTGTTAATTTTTCAAGAACCTTATTGTCCATTTAACCAGTGCCAATGTAATATGGTGTTGTGTAATCATGAATGTAACTTCACTGGGGGAAAACTGTCACTGATCGACGATAAATCGAAGGGGAAGTTCAAACGGATCCCACAGAAATCACAAAGTTTTACCTCTCCGTTTTTTAATGATGTAAAGCTTATCACCATTAAAATCTCGTGTACGTCTGTGACATGACAAAAGGGTCGCCTCTTAATTTAGTAAACTGGGGTCACGTGGTCCATATACATATTCCCACATGGTACATCGTGCAATCCCCTTGGCTCTGTTTTTTCCTGCCATCCCAATTCACCATCCACCATAGTTTGAGACATTGTTTTTTTAAATCAGCGCTACATTCAGTCAAAAAATGTTGGTGAATTTTACTCCTATTTTGTCGAAAAAAATCTGCTTGACGCGGCTATAACCAACGCGGTAGGTACGAGGAGGCTGGAGTTTCCTGTTGGGACTAAAAAATACTCAACTGGCAACTCATCAATGCGCGGGGCTCGGTAGAATCAGGCGTCTTGGATTTGTTTTTAACTTGAGCATAAATTTCGGCAACATTTTCTGACCCTCACTTCAAACACCGCAAAATCTTATGCAGGTATTAAAATGACAAAAATGTGCCATAAAGAGATGGCAAATAACTAATTAAGATGCTGAATTACAAGACAGTTATGTTTAATTTCACGTTTTAGTATGAATCAACCCTCCCCATTTCCCTTTCCGTCGTCCTCTCTGTGGTCCTCATCATTCTCATTATCATCCGGGTGGTGCAGTGCTGTCAAGCACGAAAGTCCAAGACTACCAAGGTTAGTTTTCCGTTGTTTCTATAGTATCGATAATTCTAATCAAAGCTTAGTCACCCAGCCTACTGATTTCTTGGGTCAGTCGATTAATGATGCTGTTGTGCCGAACTAGTAATGAAACCTGCCTGTACACTTAGATTCAATATTCTTCGTATTGCCTTCCCATCGTCCCCAAATATTCGTTGATAAGTGATTGAAAAGCTGTAGCGAAAACCAAAGGGTTCGCACGCCGACCAATTCATTAAAAAGGGAAGTTCCCGTTCGTACCAGATCGTCCACAAACCAAGGGCTGTGTAGCTTAGAGGCAGGCGGATCACTTTGATTGATGGCTGTTAGCATTTCCACCGTTATCCGGAGCGCAACGTGCCTCATCGCAGAACCGCTATACAAGCTTTTGTGAGAGGGAAGTGCACTGGAAGAGAGAGTCGGCCTTTTCAAGACGTCAGAGGCCCTGGCCAGCAGTCAGGTGTTGCATTCACTTGTAGGCCGTTGACTCAACGAGCCAGTCGACCGATGCACATGCCAAGCCCGACCGGACGCCGCCCAAGGAGAAGTTCATCAAGGCCATTAAGAGTAAGGGTGTGAGCTCCGCTGCCGTGCCACCAGATGAGAATGGATCTCTTCTGAAGAGCGGTATTCGGGCGAATCCCACTAGTAAGTAATTACCCCCACCAAGTTACCGTCCACCTCTATTATGCAATTCCTGTTTACTGCGAGATTTCTGCGCAATTCACATTGCTGACGGCTGTTCTAGCCTCGGAAATATGATAGCCACTCAGTGTTCACTGATTACTCATTTCCAGTGGACACTTAAGATAAAACATTCGAGCCTATTTAGGTCTAGAAGGTAGTCCTTATGTATGGCAGATATTCGCGAATTTGAAAAGGACTTAGTTAGACGTCTCCGAAGCCAGCATTGGAATCCGATATGAGCTCACTTAAACATCGGTCTGGCCTTTGTTTAGGGAAGCCACTTTTAGCTGGCTTCTGTCAGGGTTTATCTTCCTTATTACAAAAAAAACCTTGAATAAGTTAAGCGACCTGAGAATGAGGGACATATTCAACAAGCAATACTTCTCTAGATGCGATTAAGTGAAGGCGCCACTGCTGCCATGGATACGAAAACTGGGGCCATTTTCAATTTTAAAAGGGGTCACGCCTTTGACAAACGCTTCAAATTTCCACGGGGATCCTGTTTTAGCATCGATTGGAGCCGATCTTGATCAAATCTTTCAATGATCAACACCGGGATGTACAAGTATTATGGTGTACATCTCAGTAGAGCAGTTTTTAATAAGTTAATTGGGTGCAGGCATAAAAAAATGACAGTAGACTTCACATTAACGTTCAGTTTGGAACACAATTCAGTGTGTGTAGGGCACTTTAGTTTGCAAATTGATAATATGCTTTTGACAATGAAGCGCGAGGAGATAAGAAGTGGATCCGATGCACGCACGCGTGCACAAATACAGCGGTACACACCTCGGCAACCACCGTGGTCCCCACAAACTGGTGACCTTCAGCTTAAAAAAAAAGCGTCCTTGTTAGAGTGGAGAAAGTGGGCAGAAATAATCCACAGTGCGGTTTTTAATCCCAACGAAACCAAAATTGCTGTAAATACCAGGCCATAGTGAGCATTTGTGCTGAATTGAGAAGTATTACTGCGGTTTTAATAACTACGTCGAAGTAAACTTGTTCTCATTTGATTACTAGACGAAATTCGAATACAGCGAAATTCCCTTTTACTGCTCCATACTTTTCAATAACAATCAGCAGGTTTTGCGATGCCCCAATGTTTTGGCACGAAATTCTGAACAAGATTTTATGCAAATAGTTGAATTTTGATGGAAAAAGGTTGAATTCCGGTAGAGCAAATTCTGGAGGATGTGGCAGGGCTGGTGCTTCCGTTTTTTGGTGGGCACCACGACGTAAATGAGGTCGCGTTTCCTGCATCCCCTGTTCTACATTGACACGTCTTGTGAACCTGGAGACGTGCGTTGCCTGTCTTGTTTTTGAAACAAGACCACAAAGAATGAGGCCTTCAGGAATCTGCATGGACTTATTCTAGTTACCTGCTTGAAGTATCCTCTGCGAGGCGTCACCAACTTCACCAAGCGCGCTACCACGCAAGTCGATCCACCCCCTGACCAGAATGAAACGCTTCAGTCACGTTCCCCAAAGGCTTTTCATTGGCTTCTCAAAAAAAAGTTTACTGTCTTCGCCTAAAATGTGACAAAAGTTACCTGGTAACGTTGGCCTTCTGACTTAATGAATGCCACGGCAATTCGTGCTTGCACAACAACCCATCCCCAATGCCTTCAGAGCGCATGGAAAATAAAAACGAAGTAATCACAAGGGAATATTTATTAGATTAATTTGTTGTGAAATAAGAGTGCGACTACTACGGCAAACCATTTTGTCAAATAGAATGACGCTTTCTTTAGGTGGGATTGGCAGGCATTGGCCATGTTAAGGAATTATTGGATTCTCGATAGGGCTTAATTATTAGCACAGCTGGCAGGAACCAAAGAAATGCCAACACACATTCTGCTTGCCAAATTTAGCAGAAGGAATTTATTTTTGGAAGGTGCCCTAGTGTTGGTGATGGATATCTTCCATGAACTAAACAAAAGTCTTAATCCAGAGCTTGTCATAGTTTGACAGTGTCAGCAGGATGCAGGATTGGCGTGTAGCCTAGTCCGATTACGCTACCCTGACAAGTAGAAGACGAGGCCAAGCCGTTTACTAGATAGCTCAACGACGTTGTGTCGTGCGTGCCACGGTCGCGCATGCCTAGTACAATTCAGGCGAATTAGTTAACGGTCAGGTGGATAAAAGGGGCAGCGGTGGTACCCGCCGCACGGGGGGTGAATGAGCCGACGATCTCGCATGGCTGACTGGCGCACCGAGAAAAGGGGGACGTGTGTCTGAAACTGCGACCACCAGGTTAATGGACGCGAATCTACACAACCCGCTACACCACCCCGAATGGTTGTTACTATCTTACGAGGAGCTCCATCTGATAAACCGGCTTCAGGATGATTTGAGCCACCTTCTCTGCACACGCCAGCACAGTGCTGATGGAAATTTTGGTTGCTAAAGCGTCTCAAAAACCGGTGTGAACATCACCCTGCATGTCGTCGAATTTAATGTTTGCCTGACAGTTAGAAGCACAGCAACACCAATTTTATTAAACAGTAAGGCAGTGTTAAACCTGGTTTTCTTGTGTGTGGAGCAGAAAGCTTGAGATCCATTCTTGCACTTCAGTCAATTCCAAGTAGAACCAGGCTAAAAATCCGACTACAGAAAGGAGGTATTTTCTAGGACTGGATACAATGTAGTGTGTCTGTCGGTCGATTTTTCTTTACTTAAAATACCACGCTTTTTGACTGGCACAGTGCTCGAAACCCGCAAACAAAGGCAAAAACATAAGCATCCAATTAACTGAGCTCCACAACTCCAAACCAAAAAATAAACAAAATTTCCGTGTAGGAGAAGAGATGTGGTTACTAGTAGGTTTAAGAGAATCAGGCAAAATACCAATTTAGCATCAGCTGTTATGCTGGTGAATTGGTTTCCTGGGTTATTTCCAGGGATAGTGATGTTTATCACTGCAAATCCTGATATGTTAAACACGTCTCTATTCCCGTGTACTAGTTTATGTTGAGTTCTTGAAATGTGGGAAAGTAACTTTCCAATACCGCGGAGAGTTTTTTAGGCCCGCAAAAAGGAAGTACAACATAGGTTTAAGGCGTGGCGTTGTTGTCGGTTTAGCTCCGAGGAATTATGGTTCGGAAATTCGATAACACACTTTAGTTACACTGAGATCTGAGTAAGTGCGAGGAATTTGCATACAACACAGTGGCAGATTGCTTACCACAGGCTTGTTCGGATTTTTTCCCACCTGCATTGTCCTCGTTTGTTTATCAAAGCATTTTTGACATTTAGGGAAAGCCGAGAACAAGTCCTGGTACGATTCCAAAGTAATTCCTTTCATTGACGATGGTAGCGCCTCGCTGGACAATCTCTACTTTCCAGAAAACGCGATCCACGAAGTTGTTTAAAGTCAAGTGAACGAGACGAGTGTAACCCCTGTAAATAGCTTGTATCTCTTTCTTCACTCGCACATCATCGCACACACGTCAAATCACCCATCCTTCAATTTCCTGCCTTCCGATCAAACAGACACACGCCTCTGTACCCCGTTCTAGATGGCACACAACTTATTCTGCATACGCGCCCCTTCCCGCCCCCCTCTTTCCCAATGCACTTCAATCCCGTGGATGTAAGAGATTCCAATTTGATTTTATGTTCCACGCAATTTCAACACCACCCCGCACTTTGGGGCGATGGAACGATGTGGTTGCGCTTTGAAAGAACTTCTCACCCAGGCCCGCTTGTGATCGCTCGGTGTCGAGACCACGAATCGACTTCTAGTGGGCTTTGGGGATTGGATTGATTTGGTTAAAAAACCCTCCTGGCCACAGCGTAGATTTTGTCAATTAGTAGTCAATTGGGAAGCCCAACTGCTTAAGAGCTGAAATTAAAGAAATGACAGCGATGAAAGTCTAAATACCCTGGACTCCTACTACTGGGAGGTACCGTTTGCAACTCAGATCACAGTTGGGAAAATCAACGGATTGGTGCATACGGAAGCTCCAGGTGGAACAGTAGATCGCATGACTTGGTACTGGCGCAAACTCTACCACGGTTCCAAACGCAGCGTCAGTATTACTGAATAACTTTTCTGCTTAATTTACTAGTAATTTTCAACGGAGTACTGGTGCATGTTTCAAAGCACGTGATTACTGTGTGGGCAAAACGTTTCCTGGATCTTCTTGAAACACGGGGTCAAATGCCAAATTTGGGAACTAAAACGACTGATCCACTCACATGTGCCTCTTCGACTCCATGTTGACATGACCTACAGCCAAACTGAAGTGAATGTGGTTTGGTGCCTGTCGGTAACGGTAATTTTGTAAAGGGACACCGAACTAATAAACCTTATAGTGCATTTTATATCCTTTTGCAAGCATCCATTAAGTATCTTAAGACCACCAGAATTGCAACATCACCAGTTCTAGTTTGTTATGGGCCCCAGCATGTGGTCTTGAACCAAGCCGGGGCCGCGGAATTAACCCTGGCCCGATTACGCTTGCCTGATACTCGCTATGAAGAAAAAGACTGTAGAGGACGGGACATAACTGTTTACTTCAGAGCTCAATCTCGTTGGTGTCGTTGTGTCGTGTGTGGGGTTTGCGCATGTGTATTTATAGATCGGATGTGTGAGCCATACATGCGCGAACATCGGGACCTATGTGTGGAGGCACTCCAAGATAAATATTCGGGTTAGTGAAGGTGGAGTTGAGGATTCGCGCGGTTGGCGACATGCTGCGACAAGGAGAACCCTGTGTAGGAGGTGGAGCGACCGGATTAGGGGGTTGAATAAACAGGATTCACGACAAGTTCTTCATTGTAAGCTTGTGCTTTCAACCGTACAAATAAAATTTTGTTAATTGCTTCGTGTAATTTCCGTGTTTTTTCGTTCAAGTCCTAACACACAAGTAGGCACACGCCATATGTTCAGTGGGTGAAATCAAGAAAACAGATGCTCGAATGTCGGCAGGAAATGGTTGAAACACATTTGGGTTGCATTTTCGAAATAAGACTCAGCATTATTCAACTGAACGCAAAACTGAATGTCTTTCTTGGTTGTCTAGTTAACGAGTAGTATGGTTTTTCTGGAAATCTCTAAATTGCTAGGGAAAAGGCACTAGTTCCCCATGAAAAATTGACAGCAAGTTTTGTCGAAGGATCACTGTAAATGGCTCTGTTTATTTTGAAACAAAAACGCTTTTATGATGCTAGTAACTTTCGTTTGATCTAGCTGGCCGTGGTGCAGGAAACAGCGTAAGTTTTGCTAAAAGAGACAGGGGCAATTTGCTGTAGACTAGTTAAATCAAACTGAGACTGAAGTTTAATTTTAATGGCCTGAGGCAAGAAAACATGCTAAACCACGCAACACAGCTACTTCAAAAGACGATATTAGAGTATGATTAACACTCAAAATGTGGATATTTTCCCCTTATTCTCTTAGAACTGCCACGAGAAACGTCTTCTGTGGGCCTGTCCACGGTCGGATGCAAGTGGTTTCCACAAATTGGGTGAATGTTTTACAGTCCCAAGTGTCGCAAATGTCACAGCAAATCAAGGAAAGACGACTGCCATTAGCAGATTGCGTTTCCGTGTATGTCAGAAAGTATCTGCTCGAATCATTGAAGAAACTCTACGTCTTAAGTAACGAAACTTTTTAAATTGAAATGCTTTAGGCAAACTGCACCTATAAAGCAGCATTCGAGTGAAATACGAATCGATTATCCGGGTGATTATACAAACTGGCCAGTCTTGAAAAGTTCTCGGAAGTTATTCAATGTGGCACACCTACCCAAATAAGTTTGAGGAGTTCTCTGTATCTAGCTGTCTCGTGTTCTCAATAATACCATCCGTAAGTGGAAATAGTGGAATCCTTCCCGACGGAGTAATCCCTAGTGTGAAACGCTCATAGCCAACCTAAGCACAAGTAGAATTGTAGGGCGAATTTATTTACCAGAGTGGAGGTTGCTGCAGCAACATGATTGCAGTTGAAAGATGTGGCAGACGTTTGCCAGGCCCTCCTCGAAGTAGGTGAAGTGAGGTTTGTTTGGAAACAGCCCGACGAATTCGTTTCACGGTTCACCGAACCAGCCTTACAGCCTTGAATAAAATCACTGGCAGAAGGCTCTCGCAACCCCCCCCCAGATTGTGTCCAAGAGACACCCTCACTGCTCGGTTTGTTTATTTCATTTGGGCAATTATTCAGTCGGTATGTGTAGTTGACAGAAATGATGTAGGTTTTCAATTTAGACTGACACGGTCCAATCAAATGACCTGACTGGGGTAAGAATGGACCTCCATGACTTCAACCATTTGTGATGCTGCACTATTATCAGAATTTACTTTGACTGAAACAATACGGTGACCTTCAAGGTAAATATGACAACCAGAAGCACAGGGAGGTGCAGGTCGTAAATTGCTTGGAGGCTGCATACCAGAGCCACTTCTGTTCGTACGCACCCAGACCGCTGGCATTATTAAAAGGTAGCCAATGCATGTGCTGAGCGCCGTGTCAACCGCTCCTGTTGGGGTGCTTGTCAAGGCAAATGTCCAGAAAACGCGAGTTGTGTTCATTGACTCATGGCAAATCGCGCACATGCAAATAGCCCTGATCCAGGCCAACAAAGAATACATTATGATAATCGGGAGTACTGATGCAAAATCACTGGGTAGGTGGCTCAATAAGTGGAGTTAACGTTATGCCGGTGATGGGTTACCATCTTCATGGAGAGGTTATAAGCTTTTTTTACTGAAAAAAATGCGGTACAGTAGATTTATATTGCAGTTATCCACCATTGGGGACGTTGAATTATGTTCCGAAAAGGAACCTTACTCATACAAAGGGCACTACGGAAATAATATGACAAATGTTACCCACTGTGAGTGCAAAAAAAAATGAGTGGACGGTTCAGAGTAATGCGATTTCATCACGAAAACCTTTTTTTTCATGGACAGAGATTTTGAAAAGAAATCATTATGAAACTTTTAGCGAGACTTGACCATGTCCACTAACTTCTGTACTTTTTGTTCTCAAAATACAGATAAATTTGGGTGATTTCATTTGTGTGGAGTTGGCAAGTAATAATCTAAGCGGAACCCTGATTACACGGCAATAGAGTGCATTTTAATGACACTTTTGTTCATATTTTTATAACAATGAGTTCATTCGTCATCAACAGGAGTAGATTAGACAGCCATCAACCATGTTCAATTTAAAATTTTACTTAAACTCAGGGCTCAGCTTTATCTCATTAATGCGTGTTCATGTCCTCTAAATTAAAAGATGTCACCATTAGAATGTTTTCCAGGAGTTACAAAAGAACTGAACTGCTTAAAATCCACCGATGGGAACTACAGTGCCTTCTCATGACTGGATCAGCAGTTTGCCCGCATCAATGATCAATTCCCATGCCAAAATGCCTGAAAATCTGATGATCACATGGCGCAACCTACTCGTGTTGATTTGTCGAGCACACGCGGATCCCAAAATGTCTTTCCATTGGCCATTGAACAGGTTATCTGGTCGACCCTTGGCATAGAACAATCCGCATCTTCGAAGTCGATTCAAGCTACTGATATGCAAACGTGCATGCGGTAGTTCTTCATATAGGCTTTTGGGCCAAACGGACTCATATCATCCTACGATCTACCATCAATTGAAATCATTCCAACATTTTAAAACTTCTTCCTCAATTATTTGGTTAATTTGGTTTACCAAATTGGGCAAGCCTCTTTACTCGCATTAATGATCGGTTTATCATGTCAAAATGCCTGAACAACTGATGATGACATGGCGCAATTTGTTCGTGTTGATGTGCTGCGCATACGCATTTCCCAACATGTTGGTCCATTGGCCACGAGTTAATACCCAACATATTCGATTATTGGTTTTTTACGTTGGTTACTAACCCTCAATTCGTCGAGCACTCATCGTCTCTTGGATGCAAACGGCTGCATCCAAAATTATGCC